AACTTACTGGCCTAGGCAGGAGCTTCTCACAGAATGATCTAGGGACTCAGCAAAGAGACAGCACTGACAAATGGGACTGTATCGAGCCAAGAAGCCTCCACCCAGTGAAGGACACAGTCACTGGGCTAAAAAGACAGCCTACAGAATGGGAGAAGATCTTTCCCAGCTATATGTCTAACAAGGGCCTAATTATCAGAATCTATAAGGAATTCCAAAAAGCTAAGCCCTCAAAGAATCTATAACACAATTCATACATAGGCAAAGGAGCTAAATAGACACTTCTCAGAAGAACTCTTGGGAATTTGTCCAAAAGCTTGCAAGTGTATATGTGTGTGTATGTATATATATGTGTGTGTATGTACAATGCACATATATGTATACATATGTGTGTGGATGGGTACACATATGTGTGTATGTGTATGTATTCACACATAATAGAATTTTATTCATCCTTCAGGAAGAATATCACCTGAGACGAATGGACCTGGAAAAATGTCATCTTGAGTAAAGTCAGTCAGGCTCAGAAAGACATTTGTGGAAGTTAGACCTAAAATATAGCCATATATGAGAGTACACACAAAGCCATCTGCATATACGCATGATCAAACTGACTAAAATGTGGCATACATGGTTGGAGTTCCATAGCATCACCTCTGAGAACAATTAACCGTTGAACAAAAATGAATACCAGGAAGCTGAAATAGGTATGCCGTGAGGGGTTGGGTAAGGAGCAGGGAGGGGGAGAGGGTGGACTAATGGAGAGAGGAATGGCAGGTGAATACATCATAATACTCCACGGACACACATGAAATGGGAACTAGGGGACTTAAGATGGGTAGAGTCGATGCAGGGCAAGACTGACGGACGAGGTGACAGTGATCAAGATGCATTGTACACATAAATGGAGATGTTAAGTTGAAGCTACTTTGTACAACTATTTGAAGATATTTGCTTATTATTATTATTATTACTACTCTGAGAGCCCCAAAATAGGCCCTGGGAAAGGATGGGGATGGGAGAGTGTTGGTGGCAGAGCTGTCACCGTTTTCCGAGATGGGCTTCCTCCCACCTCTCTCCCAGCCCAGCCATCTTCCAGCGCTGCGCCCAGTTGCCAGCACCTCCCAAGTCCCCATCCCCGCCCCGACTCTCCATTTTCTGTCATCTGTCTTATTGAGACAGTTCCCAAATATCACCACATGGTGTTATACTGTAAATAAAGATGCTATAAATATGTATGTGGATATTAACAGAGCAAGGAAAGTGCACTAAAGCACTCATAGGAAGAATTTATTCATCTATTCGAGGGACCCGGCTGGCCTTTATAGGCAGATTCTTAAGTGGCGTGTAGATTGTTGCTGCAGTGAGACCCTTAAGGCTGCAGATATTTTACTCCCCCCCTCCCCCCCCCGACTGTACTCATTGTGTGCTGATTCATTGTGTATGTCTAAGCTTTAAAGGCGTTTTTTTTAAAAAGCTTACCAGTGTTGTATCATTGGTGACAGGCCCATTATATATGGCTTACTGAAAAGAAGAGCTAGGTTTTTTTTTTTTTCCTTCCCAGAGGTAAAGCTGATATGGAAGCTGATATGTATGGGGGGGGGGGGTCCGAGTAATTAGGATACAAGTCTGGGTACTACCAAGTGTGGGGGTCTTCGCCTGCTGCCTAGCCAGATGGAGTGACCCCAGGTGATGACGTCATGGCTGTGTGTGACCCACCTGTCATCCTTGGCTACCTCGGGATTCTGCCAGGGAGTCAGGCATCACAGATGCAAGGTCATCACCAGTGACCTTGGACCACAATGATGGCTGGAAACCTCCTTCCCTGACAACTTGCCCTGTCTGTGGTTCTGTGTTATTAGGAACAGAGACAGAAGGCAAATGTGTGCTTTGACTGAGCCCTGCAGGCCTCCAGGACTCCCTCCTGCCCCACGACTCAGGCTAAATGGAGCCAAAGGACTTCTTCCAAGGGGGTCCTTGGAAAGGACCAGGGAAAGGCACTGAGCTGAGCCACCCAAGCCAGAGGAGACCTAGAGGGCATCACCTCCGTACCAGCAGTAGCATTCAGTGGGCAAAAGCAAAAGACCTTCTCCGAATGGAAAAACTGTTGGCAGAAATTAAACGTGGGAGATAAAATTTTAAACGTTTGCAGAAGATCAAGCAGTAAGATGTCGCTAATGGAAAATAAGCAATAACCGATCTTTTAGATGAGAACAAGTCCAGGAGGTCGAACTTCAAATACCAAGAATTCTAGACAGAGAAAGATAAGGGACAGGCACCAGGGGTTCACGTCTGTAATTCTCACTACTCAGGAGGCTGAAATCTGGGGATTGTGGTTCAAAGCCAGCACAGGCAGAAAATTCTGTGAGACCTCTTATCTCCAATTAACTAGCAAAATGTTGCAAGTGGAGCAAAAAAGCCAAGCGAGAGCTAATGCTCTGTGTTCAAGCTCTAGTACTTGGCATCAAAAAAATAATAATAAAATAGGGAAAAGGAAATCACCAGTGAAAAAATTTGAGGCAATCTTCCAGCACTGGTGGCCAATAGTTCATACTAGGAAGTCAGTATTATACATTCATGGTTTTTGATGATCTATGTACAGGGCAAGTATTTCTGGTTATAGTGCTATTCATATATAATGTTTCCACAATCCTATATGCTTTACCTATTCTCCCCTTCCTCCCTCCCCCTCTCCCTTCCTTCTTTCCTTCCTTTCTGCCATCCTTGTTCCCTCCCTGCCTCCTTCCTTCTCTCCCTCCTCACTCCTGGAACACTGCTCTTTTGCTGTCGGATAGATTTGTCTTTTTCCGGGATGTCTTGGGTAGAGTTGTGCAGTAGATAGCATCTGTAGAATGGCTTCTTTTGCCTAGCAAAACACACTGCATCTTCCATCATGTCTTTTCATGGCTTGATAGCTCGCGGGTGTTGAATGACTTTCCATTACCGGATGTTATCGCATTTTATTTACCCATTTACCTACCGACATGTGTCTTGGCTGATACCAAGTCTGGGCAATTTGAAGTGAATTTGGTATATACTGTGTCTGTGTGTGTGTGTGTGTGTGTGTGTGTGTGTGTGTGTGTGTGTGTGTGTGTGTGTATGTGTGTGTGTAGTATTACTCAGCCTTAAGAAGGAAGGAAATTCTGATCCATGCAAACTGATGAGGATTCAGACATGAGAGGGAGGGAACTTGCCTGGCTGGCACAATTTCTGTCCTGGGGAGCTAGACTCTGGTGCCAGCACCCTGGGTATGACACAGGGTCACCATCACCCATGTCAGAGCTGGCCACCTCCCCCCTGAGCATCTGCACCCCACCCCCACCCTGTGTCCTCCTCCACAGAGGCTCCCTATTGGGACATACAGAAGGTGATTTTGTGAGATGTCACCGGTTTTTCGTAGGCTGAAAATGGAATGCTTTGAGCTTCAGGAGGGGGAAAATAAAACCATGACTGTCACCTGGGTTAGCACAGGTTGCTGTCTGCACAGATGCTCGAGCCTTTCTCGTGCTGAAACCCAGTTCCATGGGACAGCCGTCTAAAGGATCCCCTCTGACTCCTGTATCAGCTCTGGCCCCCCGGCCCCCTGTCCTTCTGTCTAGGCTCATTCAAGGAGACTGGGAAAGACAGAAATGGGCCAGGGCTGGGGTCTTCATTGGAGGCAGTGAGAAGGGGTTAAGCAGAGAGTCTGAGTCTTGAAGTTTCCTTGTTGTGAGTCACCAGGACTCCAGGGCTGAATGTCTAAGGTGGAGGCTGGTTAAACTGTCTCAGGCTTGATTAAGACATGTGTCCTCTCTCTCCTCCCTCCCCCCTGCCATGAGAGCCCCTCTCCTCCACCTTTCAAGGAAGCCCGGCCTATAGCCCTGTGTGGAACACAGGCCTGACTAGGCCTGGGAAGAAAGACCCACAGTAGGCCCTTCTCTGACTGCAGCGTCCCCAACAGGGCTGACAAGGAGAGTCTGCGGATGGCCACCAGTGGCCGTGGGGTGGGGACACTGCCGGGAAGCAGGAAGGCCCCATTGAGGAGACAAGGATGGAGAAAAAAGAGCCATCCTGCAGGCGACCACAGCCTCGCAGGGGCTCAGAGGTGGGCAAGGTGTTTAGAGGGGGAGGCTAGGTATGCCATGGAGCGGGGTGGAGGCGGGGTGGTGGGGAGAGAGATGAGGCTGGGCAGGTCGGCTGGTCCAAATCACATTCTATAACCTGACAGTGGTCTTGATCGCACCCTGACAGAACTCAACTCAAATAAGTATACAGGATAGAAAAGTTCATGAGTAGCTTCAGGTACCGTAGGATCCAGGGTCTCCAATCCTCAAGAATGTGTCCATTTTCCTCACCCTTCATACGGAGAGAAGGGTCTGAACAAAGAGGGAAAGAGAACCACCAAGTGCTAAAGAAGGTCTGAGATGGGCCTGAACAGCCCCCAGTTTGGATCCGACCCACCTCGGAATCAATCTTGGTGACCAGCATCTGGAGGGAACTATGTAGAACTTGTCAAAAACCCAGCTTTCACGCAAGAAGCACGCTCCAAAATGGTCTGTCTGTGGCTGGATGCCAGTGCCTCACACCTGCAATCCTAGTTACTCACGGGACTGAGATCTGAGGATCAAAGTTCAAAGCCAGCCGGGGGAGGAAAAAAATCTGTGATATCTCCAATTAACCAGCAAAAAGCTCAAAGGGGAGCTGTGGCTTTGTGGTAGAGTGCTAACTTTGAGTGAAAAAGCTCTGAGACAGCACCCCAGGCCCTGAGTTCAAGCCCCTTTAACTGGCACAAGGAAAGAAGAGAGAAAAAAGTGGTTTGTCAGTAAATGGAGAAACTGAGGACAGAAAAGAAATGGCTGGTTACTGAGGGAAGAGTTGAGAGATTGTAAGCGGGAAAACGGATTCTGTACTGCGGGGGTATGAGAGAGGACAGAGGGGACAGAAGGGACCACGGGAAGCAGAGCCCTCCCAACCCAGACCCCAGGGAACCGGCGGCTCCTGGCTCAGCTGTACCCCAACTGCCTGTCATTGCAGGCAGGCATGCCCCGGACCCTGAGTGCCTCCGACATGGTCACCCCAGGCAGCCTCAGCCCACCCCCCACAGACCCCACCGATGGCGAGCAGGCCGGACAGCTCTTCCTGGACGGAGCTCCATCCTCAGCCTCTCTGGAGACCCTGATTCAACACCTGGTCCCCACAACCGACTACTATCCCGAGGTGGGTGAGCGACCTAGTGGGGGGGGGTTCCTCTCTCTTTCTAGCAGGCAGGCAACATGGCTGGGAGTCGCTTTGAGCCTGGGAAGGCCCTACCTCCAATGCCCTGATGATTGTATCTCGCTCTTCCTACCCATCCACCAGAAAGCCTATATCTTCACCTTCCTGCTGAGCTCTCGCCTCTTCATCGAGCCCCAGGAGCTCCTGGCTCGGGTCTGCCACCTGTGCATTGAGCAGCAGCAGCTGGACAAGCCAGTGCTGGACAAGGTGAGGAGATGGGCAGGGGTGGAGGCCGGGGGGGGGAGGGGGGGCGCTTGGTGGTTCTTGCTCTTCTGACCAGAAGCCCCATAGAGTTCTGACTTGTCTGTCTGAAAGGACAGAGCCAGGACCATGATGCACATCCCTAAAGCCCTGTGGGAGCCCTGAAAAGCACTGGGGACTGCCCAGTGCCAATGGCTCACACCTGTCATCCTATATACTCAGGAGGCTGAGAGCTGAGGATCACAGTCCGAAGCCAGCCCAGGCGAGAAAGTCCATGAGACTCTTATCTCCAATAAACCACCCAGAAAAAGCCAGAAGTGGCGCTGTGGTTCAAGTGCTAAAAGAACTCAGGGACAGAGCCCAGGCCCAGAGTTCAAGCCCAAGGACTAGCAAAAAAAAAAAAAAAATTACTGGGGGATCTCAAAGCCCAGTCAACAGGCCCCCTGCCACCTGTGGCCAGGGATGGCCCTGCCCTTCCTTAGCACACTCCCATCCGCCTTTCCTTCACTTTGGGGTCCCTTGATAAGCCAGACTTGCCCCAGAACCTCCTATCCTTGCCTCCATCCCTGGCCTGATCCTGTGAGCCCTGGCTTTCTCTTCATTTATATACATGTCTGCCTGGCTTTACTGTTACAGTGACGGAAACCCAACTGCAATTGGCCCAAGGCAAAGGCACACAACTAGCATTTGTAATTCCAATCCACTGCAAAGACCCCTCTTCCTTCCATACGTCCACCAGAAGTCCCAATCTCATTGGCCTAGCTTAGGTCACCTGTCTATCTGTGAGTGGGCTCTGATTGGCCAGATTTCATCTGCTTCCACCTTTGGGGTGTAGTCAGCTGCTCCTGAGCCTAGTAGTACTCTGGCAAAGAGGCAGGGAAGTTCTCAAAGGGAAACTGAGACCCTGTCGCTAAAGAAAGGTAGAGAGGGGACAGACACAGGCGGCCGAACCCCCCAAGATGTGTGTCTGCTTCTCTTCTGCTCTCCCCTATGGGAACAAGGGAGCAGTTCCCTGCCCTGTCCCTGTCCCTGGCACCAGAAAGCCCTTCTTCAGCCAGCACTGCCTTTTTGGGCGACACACACAGGCATTAAAGTGTGGCCCCCACCTCCCTAGCACCCCACCAGAAAGCAGGACACCCCCCCCACCTCCTTACAGCTCACTTACTTGCCTAACAGGCTCAAGTCCGTAAGTTTGGCCCCAAACTACTCCAGTTGTTGGCTGAGTGGACTGAGACGTTCCCACGGGACTTCCAGGAAGAGTCGACCATCGGGCACCTGACGGACGTGGTGGGCCGCATCGCGCCCTGTGACGAGGTGGGCAGGCCAGGGCGGGACCCCCCCCACACACACACATTCGGGCTTCCTCGGGCCCTCAATCCCCCCACACTGCACACTGGAGCCCTCTTCTGACCCCATCAAGGAACCAGGCACCACAGAGCTATCTATCTGTCAGGCCCCTGGTTCCAGGTCTGCTGTCCTGACCTCTCTCTCTGGCTCTCATCAATGGCGCCAGAGCTCCAGGAAGGGAAGGCCCAACAGGGGTTCATCCATGGTCCGGGTACTGGGCTGTGACCCACTGGGCCACCTGGTAGGGCCTATGTCCCAGGACTGGTGCCACAGGGACCTCTTTCCTCCTGCCTCAACCACACGGGTCTGGTGTGGCCGTGGACCTGCCACTCCGGCAGGATGAACGTAAGAACAGTGGCGTGAATAACAACCACACGCTGGGCAGAGTCTCTGGGATCTGCTCAGCCTCCCAAGGTAGGCTGTCAACCCTGCGTGATGGAGGATCTTCCTACGGCTAAAACACAACGCAGGTGAACAAGACCCTTAGCTCCTGGCAGCAGCCAGTGGCCGGGCATTCGGGTGCCCCTGCGTCCCACACCCTCATTTCCCTGATGGGAGAAAGGAGGACAAACATCACCTCCCCGACGTGTTTCTCAGCATCCCCGGAATGATTTTGTGGGCGGCACTGATATGCACTGTCTGAGAAGAGGGAACACTGGCTGGAGATAAGTGGGGGAGGGGGTTGACTGGAATGTGAGTCACCCCACGAGGAACTTGAACATGGCAAGCTGGTAGCTGGTGATGTGCCCCGAAAGTGGGTCTGGCCATGACAGAGCCATTTGTCTATGAAATGAAGGAAAATTGCTCAGGCGGGGTAGGCAATAGGAAGTCGTAATGCCCAGGGCATAACAAAGGCTCAGATAGGGAGGTTGTGCTGGGCGGTCATTTCTCATAGCCACAAGTGTCTGAGCTGCTGTTGGGGCTCGGTGAGATAACGTGTCTCTTCTGCCTCTTCCTCCTTTTTTCCTCCTCTTCCTCCTCCTCCTCTTCCAGCTCCCCCTCCCCCTCTGCATCCCATGATTCAGTGCAGCATTATGACACTGGGCTTAGTCTGTCTGGATGGGGAGGGGTCAGGGGGAGACAGAGAAAGGGGTGGATGCTTGTTGACTGGCTCATTCGCTGACTGGCTGGCTACTTTTATGAATGGACATATGAGAAAATAGGTTTTTGAGCCATTCACATGGGCAGGTAGATGTATCTGATGAATGGCCACGGAAAGAATGATGGAGAGAAAGGAGGAAGAAAAATGGGCAAGGCAGATAGATGAGTGTTTGGGTGACTAGATGTATGGGAGGTAGTGAATGGATGGGGGAGTGGGTGAGTGTTAGAAAGGAGGGAGGAAGGATGGGTGATGAACTGATGGGCCTATGGGTGGGTTACTATCTAAGGAGAAAGGTAGATGTGGACAAGAAGTGTATGGCAGATGCGTGACTGGTGGATGGATAGTTGGGTGGATGGGTGAGAAGAGGATGGATAGGTAATGGAGGGTGGATAGCTAGAAAGGTATGGGTGGGTGGCTGAGTGAAAGAGGAGTGATAAATGAGGGAATTGATGAATCTGTGGGTAGATACTGTATAAAGGAAGAGATGGATGATAGAACAGAAAGGTTCAGAGATGATGGATGGATGGATGGATGGATGGATGGATGGGATGGATGGATGGACAGATGTACTGGGCTGGTAGGTTTAAATCCTGGGCTAGTTTCCCTGTGAAAACCAGTGCAGAAGAACCTATTAGAACAGCTCCTGTTGTCAGCAGGTCTGGGGGTGGGGGTGGGGCTGAGTTCTGAGACCTCCACACCCACCAAGCCCAAGTCAGGAGTGCTCCCCTGTGTCTTCGGGATCTCCAAGTTGCCCTTCTCCAGAAATCATCCAGTCTACCAAAGACATCTTTTAGGTTCTGGCTCTTTACCCAGAATGCACAGAGCCCTGAATCGGCCTGCTGAAGAAGGCCCCCGGGTCAGACAGCCCAGACCCCAGGTCCATTCTTAGGGAGACTGTGTGCAGTCTAGGCAAGATGTGTCGCCCCTCTGAGTTTGTTCCTCAATCAGGAAACCACTCCCACAGCTTGGCAGCTACAAGTCCCTGCAGCCATGTGCGCTCTGCTCCTATTTTAGCCCTAGTAAACTATGTGAGCTATGATGAGGAACAAATTGTTGCCCAAATTCAGTCAACTGGAGAATATTTTTAACCCTTCATTGTTGTTGTTGTTGTGGTTTTTTTTTTAGGTAGTGGGATTTGAACTCAGGGCCTCAGACTTGCTAGGCTGATGCTTTCCCACTTGAACCTTGCCTTCACCCCTGCTTTTTGCTGGTTATTTTGGAGATCAAGTCTAGTGAACTATTCTGCCCAGCCCTGACCTCCAATTTGCAATCCACCAGTCTCCTGAGTAGCTTGGATTACAGGCATGAGCCACTGGTGTCCAGATTATTTTTAACTCTTATGAAATATTTCACACATATCCAAATGTGAAGAACAGTAACTACCAACTACTTCGTACCCATCGCTTCACTTCAACGATCGTTATTAACACTTTGCCAAACTCGTTTCTTCTCTGCCTTCACACATTTCCCCCTTGCAACAGATTTGTTGCAGGCAAATCACAGGCATTATGTCTTTTGCTCCAAAAAACGTTTTTTTTTTCATCGTTATCTTTGGTCGGGGAGGGACAGTCGTGGGAGGAGGGTTAGCCCTAGCATCATCTTTTTTTTTTTTTTTTTCTTTAAGTTTTTCCTACAGAGGTGGAATAGAATGATGGAAAATCCAATGTCTGCGGTTAGGTATTTTCAGAGCTGTGTGTCTTTGGGCACCTTCCTTTGGGTTCAGTAGTTAGAGCTCCCTAAGACCAGTGCTGAGGCCCGAGAGAGGCTGGGTTTACAGCCCATGGGCAAGAGAGAAAGGACGGGACAGTGGTGCTCTGGCCACACCCACTGGGGCACGGTGAGATTAGGGGCTCCTCTTGGGGGTAGAAGAGTAAGTGTCCCTTGAGGGAGGGCATGGCCTTTTGTCTCTGAGTCCAGAGGCACAGTGCAAAGGGCATAGTGCAAAGCTGGGCTCCATCTGCCCACGCCGCATGGTGAGGGGGTATACTGAGTGTCCATGTATGCCCAGAGCTGGCCTGGGCCCTGCTAACAGAAAGGGCAGCGATAGCTGGCTAGTAGGCAAACTCAATCATTTTTAACAGTGGTTCTTCAGAAACAGTTGGAGGCGTGGCTCAGTAGGAGGCGTGGCTCAGCTGGTAGAGCACTAGCCAATGAGCGAAAGCAGCAGCAGGTACTTAGATGGAGTCCCAGATGAGTCCGTCATTCGGGGTCGGAGAGCAAGATGGTGAGGGAGGGTCCAGGAGTCTCCTCCATGTCCTGAGAGACAGGACATGGAACAAGTGCTTCCTTTCTCCAAGTCCCTGGCTCGCCTCTCTCCCCCATTTACCGCCTTGTCCTGCTGGGGCCACCTGGGGTCTGGTTGCCTTCCCTGCTGTGTGTTTTTCTCAGCTGCTACCCATCATCCTGCGGTCTTCACCCAGGAGCCTACCTGGCCACAGCGTAGAGGCTGGGAGATGGGGTGCTGAGGCCGGAGTCTCCCCTTCAACACGGCCCTGCCCCTCCCCTCCCAGGCCTACCGAAAGAGGATGCATCAGCTCCTGCAGGCTCTGCGCCAGAAGCTGGCGGCCCTGGGCCAGGGGCCGGAAGGCCTACTGGGCACTGACAAGCCCATCTCCTACCGGACCAAGCCACCGGCCTCCATCCACAGGGAGCTCCTGGTCGTCTGCAACGACCCCTACACGCTGGCCCAGCAGCTGACCCACGTGGAGCTGGTGAGCGGGCAGTGGGCCCAGACCCTGGGAGGGAGCAACTGAGAACAGCTCCCCCCACCCCAACCCTTAAACTCTCCTTCCTCCTTGTATTGGGGATGCCCTGATCTAACCCCTGGGAAGTAGGGCCGGCCCACGAAGTGAGGGAGGCTGGGAGTGGGCTGCTTTATCTTCTGCACCCCACCACGCATGGTGGTGACCCTTCTCCCTTCTCCTAGGAGCGGCTGAGACACATCGGGCCTGAGGAGTTTGTCCAGGCTTTTGTGAATAAGGACCCTCTGGCCAGCACAAAGGTAAAGACGCCTGGACCACACCCTGGAGAAGATCGGGGTGGGGGACACCCACTGGGTGAGCTTGGAGCCACCCAGAGCTGGATGATGGGGCTGGACCAATTCCCTCCACCCCCTCCATTTCAGACCTGTGAGTCCCAGAGGGAACCCCCCCCCCCGTCCCACCCTGCCCCGCAGAGAGCCTGACCAGCCAGGGGTGGGGAGGGGAGAGGGAGGCTGCCGGCCACATACACCTAAGAGTTAGGTGATGGGTCGGCATGGATGGAGCTGTGGGAGCAACTGGCACCACTCTGGGCTCAGGACCCTCCAGGCCCTTCTGGTGCCTTTTGGTGGGTGCTAGTGCCCTCCAGTGGCCACTTGGGGAAGTGCAGGCTGGTGCATTTGGCCGGCAAAGCCTAAAGAACAGGTGCATCCCCACAGGTATGTCACTTGCTGCCACCCACTTCCAAGGCAAGAAAGCCAAGGGAGGGGAAGAGGCCCGCAGTTCAACCCCCAGTTCCAACACACACACACACACACACACACACACACACACACAGATACGTTGCAACATGAGATCTGTAAATGTATCAATGAACTCATGAGCTACAGCAGAATATAACCCATGACTAAATGGGTATCAAACATGTATCTGCTCCGTGGGGTTCACCATGGCCTCTATGAGCCTAGAACTCAAGACTAGGTGTCGGCACTATGCTGGGAAGCTCTTTAAGATTTTGAAATTATCCCCCACCCCAACACAAGAATGTTGTCTTTGGGAGGGTATCAAGGGCACAGAAATGGAGGGACACAGGGTGAACAATTGCAGCAGTGGTACTCACTGGACACTATGCTGAAAATGAACACTACAACGTGTGGGTGGGGGCAGAGGGAAAAACTGGGAGAGAGTGAGGGAAGGGGTGACATTGTCCAAAAAGAAATGTATTCTTTACCTGACTTATGAAACGATAACCCTTCTGTACATCACCTTTATAATGCCACAAATTTTTTTTGGGGGGTCCAGTCATGGGGCCTGAACTCTGGGCCTGGGCGCTGTCCCTCAGCTCTTCAGCTCAAGGCTAGCACTCTACCACTTGAGCCACAGCGCCACTTCGGGCTTTTTTTCTTTTTGCTTATGTGGTGCTGAGGAATTGAACCCAAGGCCTCATGCATGCAAGGCAAGCGCTCTACCACTGAGCCACCTTCCCAGCCCCTATAATGACACAAATTTAAGCATTTGTTTCTCTCTTTTTTTGTTGGTGGTGGTGGGGCTTGAACTCTGGGCTTGGGCTCTGTCCCTGCGCTCCTCAGCTTAAGGCGAGCACTCTACCGCTGGAGCCACAGCACCACTTCTGGTTTTCTAGTGGTTTATTGGAGATAAGAGTCTCAACAGACTTTCCTGCCCAGGTTTGAACTGTGATCCTCAGATCTCAGCCTCCTGAGTAGCTAGGATTATAGTCATGAGCTACCTCAACTGGCTCGTTTGTTTCTCTTTTAAATTGTTTTTTTGAAATTTCCATCCAAAACACAAAACTGGAGAAGAGACGCTAGCTAGACAGTCAAAATGCTACTTGTTCATAGGGCCCCACATCAGAGCTGAAAGAGGACAGAGGTGACTTAGTTCAACCTTGACTAGAAATGTTTAGGAAACCGAGGAGCCCCTTTCTGTACACTTACACAACTAATTGTAAAAGACACACAATCTATGAGATTATAACTAAAATTCAGTGTGTAAGAAAATTCACCAAAATTCTATGGATATGCTTACCATTTTTATTGCAACCTTACTTTTTTTTTTTTTCTTTCAGTCATGGGGCTTGAACTCTGGGCCTGGGCCTTAAGCTTTTTTGCTCAAGGCTAGCACTCTACCACTTTGAACCACAGCACCACTTCTATTTTTCTGGTGGTAATTGGAGATAAGAATCTCATAAAGTTTCCTGCCTGGGCTGGCTTAGAATCATGATCCTCAGATCTCAGCCTCCTGAGTAGCTAGGATTACAGGAGTGAGCCACCGGTGCCCAGCTCTTATGTATTATTAAGCTTATTTAGTGCTAGGTATAAAACCTTGAACCCCCTTTCTTGCTAAGTATAAGCATTCATTCTATCACTGCACTACATCTCCCTCCCCACCCCACCCCACTTTCCGTAGTAGTAGGGATTGAATCCATGAGCCACCTCCACACTCCTACACCTTTAAATGTATAGGGAAAACAAGGCCAGAAGGAGACACAACAAAAACCACTGGTGTTTCCTGGCAGTTAAAGTTTTCACTTTGCTCCGGTTGTCTAATGATCATGAACTGACTTTCTGTTCTAAGGTTTTACTGACCAACGCGGCATGTGCGCCCATGTCTTTTCCAGCCTTGTTTCAGTGACAGAACCAACAACCTGGAGGCTTACGTGAAGTGGTTCAACAGACTGTGCTACCTTGTGGCCACTGAGATCTGCATGGTGAGCACAAAGCCAGAGAGGGCAGGACCTGACAGCTGGGGCTGAAGAGGCCCCCACCGTGCAAACTGGAAGGACATCTTGAGCCCCAGTCATCTCTGGGGGCTTGGCTGGTAACCGCCCCGCCCAGGAGCGGTTCTCTTGAAGTGACATGTACCTTGTAGGCAGAGCGTTAAGGGTGGATCAGCAGCCAGCTGTCCCACTGTCGCTGTTTGCCTCGACTCTGGGCATCCTGGCCTAACAGCTGGGTGGTTTGTCTCACTTAGTCTTACTCAGAATTTAGAAGAGGAGGCAATCTAACCTTTACAAGTTGGGATGTTGCACTTTAAAGGTTCAGGTCAAGGTCAGGCGCCAGTGGCTCATGCCTATCATACCAGCTACTCAGGAGGCTGAGATCTGAGGATTGAGAAATTCGTTTGAAAGTTGTTTTTTTTTTTTGGGGTTGTTGTTGTTGTTTTGTCAGTTGTGGGGCTTGAACTCTGGGCCTGGGCGCTGTCCCTCTGCTCTTCAGCTCAAGGCGAATGCTCTACCACTTGAGCTACAGCACCACTTCTGGTTTTCAGGTGGTTTATTGGAGATAGGAGTCTCAGGGACTTTCTTGCCTGGGCTGGCTTTGAATGGTGACCCTCAGATCTCAGCCTCCTGAGTAGCTAGGATTATAGGCATGAGCCACTGGTGCCCAGCCCAAGAGATTCTTAATATCTAATTAACCAGCAAAAAAAAAAACTAGAAAGGGAAGCATGGCTAAAGTGGTAGAGAGCCAGTCTTTGGTGAAAAGCTTCAGTTCAAGACTCAGTATGGGCACAAAAAATAAAATAAAAGAGGGCTGAGTTTGGTGAACAGAGGGTCTGAGCAAGGCTGGAGAGGAACGTGTCATTGCTGATGCTGTGGTACCCTATCCCCAGCCTGCCAAGAAAAAGCAGAGGGCTCAAGTGATTGAGTTCTTCATCGATGTGGCCCGAGAGTGCTTCAACATTGGCAACTTCAACTCCTTGATGGCCATTATCTGTGAGTGAGGACGCCCAGAGGTTGAAGCAGACACTTCTGGGGAGATGGGGTACAAGCCCTACTTCTGAGCAGTGGGTGGGTGTAAGGTGGGTAGTCTGCAGCCTTGTCCCTTAAAGAGACAAGCTTAGTCCTCAGGGCTTTTGTGGAAGGCCTGGCCTTGTGCTTCCAGATCAGAGATGATGAGGACCCCAAAACAGTTACGGGTCATGGCGGGGGGGAGGGTGGAGAGAGGGGTGTTTGTGTAGTGGAGACAGACAATGAGGGTCCCCCACACATCAGCTGGGCCTATTGATGCAATCCACCAGTGCCCACCCACCCAACTGGTAGTCCAAGGCCACTGCAGACGTCTGGGCTGTCTTGGTGGGGGGAGGGAGGGGCACTGCAGCTATACCTGAACTTGGCACCAGGGGGAGCAAGCAGGACTGTCCAGGCTGGAAGAGCCCTTCCAAGCCCGGCCTTCCCCCTTCCAGCCGGAATGAACATGAGCCCTGTCTCCAGACTGAAGAAGACTTGGGCCAAAGTGAAGACAGCCAAGTTTTTCATCCTGGAGGTAAACAAGGTGGCTCAGCTTAGGGGTGTCCGCTGGCCACCGGACCCAGCTGCCCAATTCCTTCCTGTCTTCCCTCCAGCACCAGATGGACCCGACGGGAAACTTCTGTAACTACAGGACAGCCCTGCGAGGGGCAGCCCACCGCTTCCTGACCGCCCACAGCAGCCGGGAGAAGGTAAGCGAGAGGCCCCCCTGGAACCAGAGGTTTATCCAGCCTCCCGAGCTGCTCCCTGCTCCACCCCGATCAGGTGGGCTACACCGGGGGCAGCAGTCAGCCTCTGTCTCTCTGACCAACACCTGAGATGATCACCGGGATGTTTCTGCCTTACCACAGGCCCAAAGCAACAGAGTCAGCTGACTACAGACTGAAAGCTCTGAAATCCCAAGCCAAAGTGAACTGTTCCTCCTATGACAATGTTCCTCTCGAGCGTTTTGACACAGTGGCAGATAGCTGGTTCACAGGGCCTTACCACGAGGCCCTGAGGCCAGCCACCCTTGACCAGGAAGGCCCTCTTACCCTCTTCATCCCGGGATGCATCAGAGAGAGGCTCCTGGTGCCCGCTGGCAAGGCTGCAGCAGGGCTCCAGACCACCTGAGGTCTGACCTCCCTTCTCCCCTCCAGATCGTCATCCCCTTCTTCAGCCTGCTCATCAAAGACATCTACTTCCTGAACGAGGGCTGCGCCAACCGCCTTCCCAATGGGCATGTCAACTTTGAGGTAGGGGACAGGGGCGCGGGCCAGCGGGGGGGCGCGAGGAGAGGGAGAGGAGGACCCCCCCAAGTTAGGCAGGCTGTCAAACTTGCCAGGGCAGGACTGCGGGACCTGAGGCAGATAGTGTAGCAGCTGACAAGGCCGCTCCTGGGTCGGTTGATCAGAGTCTTCTACCCCGATATCATCAGCCAGAGCGCGAGACGGAGGCTGGTACATGTGTCCCTGTGTGCTCTGGGTGCCAGCCTGGTGAAGCAGAATCATTTTGGACCCATGAGGCGCACCAGGCCCGTAAGACCTTTTAGACAACTGGCAAGGTGCTGACAGGGGATGCACAGACACACAGGGCATGGGCACCAGAGCAGGGCCCAAGGGAGGAGGGGCGTGTGACCCCTCCCCCAGGCAGAGTGAGCCCCCCGCTAGGGCTCCTGCAGAAGATCAAGGGGGGTACCCCCAGTCAATCTCACAGCCCCTGAGTCCCTGAGCTCCTCAAAATCAACACCAGACCCATCTGCTCTGTGTCCCGACCCCCAGCCCGGGCTCACCCCACACCCATGTGTTGGAGTGGCTCACCAGCCAAGTACCGGAAACAGGCAGTGACTAAGTCGAAGCCCTGGATGGATGGCCGTCCTCAGTAGGGTCAGTCTCAAAGGCACACTGCCCCACGGTCCTCCTCGAACCCTTGACATCACCACGGGGGACAAGAGAGGCTTTGCCAGGGTCCCCTGCTCAACCCCTGGGGCCTCCGGCCACTGGGGCTACCTCCATTTCCTGTCTCTGTGTGATCCTGGCAGAAGTTCCTGGAACTGGCCAAACAAGTTGGAGAGTTCATCACGTGGAAACAAGTGGATTGTCCTTTTGAGAAAGACCCCAGCATCACCCACTACCTGTACACGGCCCCCATCTTCAGTGAGGACGGTAAGCTGACCCGCTGGAACTCTGGCGGTGTCTGGGTGCCTCTTAGTCACTATTTAGGGGGCCTCTGCTCTGAGCAGAGATGTGCCATAGCCGCCCCCTTGACAGCTCCAGAGAAGGCTCCAGTGACCCAGGAGCACAGAGTGGCAGAGGAGCGGAGCACGGGGACCCCAAGGACCCCAGAGCCAGGCTTCCTCCTGGACTAGCATTTTGGACATTGTGCAGTAGAAATCAGAACTGTCTGGCATTCCTACCCTATTTGTATCATTAGCCAGGCGAGAGTGAGGACAGACACAACAAGCACTGGGCTAACAACTGTGGGTTTCTCTGTGGCACGTGTGCACTTGCGTGTGTGTGTGCGTGTGTGCGTGCGCGTGCGTGCACACGTGCACACGTACTCATGTGCACGTACGTGTAATCTACGGCCATGATGGAAGCTTCTTGCCTCCGCAGTGCTCACATTGTCCTGTGCAGTAAATAAGCATTCCCGTCTGATCCTTCATCGGATACAAACTTGCTTGTAAAGTTGCTAAGAGGGCAGACCCTAGGATTCTCCCCTTTGAGGGCAGTGTGCCCTCATGGGGAGCTGCTCTTCCCTGGAAGGTCCCTGCTCAGTAAGCAGGGCTCCTGGCTTATCACACAGCAAGTGTGTGTGAAAGGACCTCCAGCTATGCCTGGGGAACGTATACTGCCCCACCCTCCAAGACAATTAGGAATGACTGTCTGTGTGTGTGTGTGTGTGTGTGTGTGTGTGTGTGTGTGTGTATACACATGTATGCCAGTATTGGGGCTTGAACTCAAGGCCTCTTGCTGTCTCTTGGCTTTATCACTCCAGGCTGGTGAGCTTACCACGTGAGCCAAAACTCCACTTCTAGCGTTTGTTTGCTGGTTAATTGGAGATAAGATTCTTGGATTTCTCTGCCCCAGTTGGCTTTCCATCTTGATCCTTCCGTCTCAGCCTCCTGGTTAGCTAGGATTACAGGCATGTGCCACTAGTGCCTGAGAAGAAGGATTTTTTTTTTAAATGATTTTGTCTTTGGATACTCTGAACTACTGTACAGTACTCCTGGCTGACCTCACTCAAACTCTGTGGGTCAAACATGCCAACTCGAGTAATTCTCGGTGTGGCCCTGGGAAGGGGGTTCTTTTGCTACTCCACTTTACAGGGGCACCAAAGGTAAGGCTTAGGGAAGGCTTGTTGAGGGGTTTTATAATTGGCTACTACTCGGGGAAACTGAGGGAGAAGGTTTCCAGGTTCTCTGTATGGTCTTCGTCCAGCTTTCTGTGAAAACAACCATCTCCAAACAAAACATTCAATCCAAAATCAAAAAGCAGCTCAGGGTTCTAGGTGTGGGACAGGCAGCCATCACCCAAGGGATTCACTTTGCTTCTCTTCCTACCTAGGTCTTTATTTGGCTTCCTATGAAAGTGAGAGCCCAGAAAACCAAACAGAAAAAGAGAGGTGGAAATCTCTAAGGTGAGGTTACCTTGTCAGGATGGGACCCGGAAAGGGGGTGGGTGGAGGGGAGAGGATCAGAACTGTGGGGCATGAAGACCGGGATAAGAGAGTTTCATGACACTCTGTCATCTGCTTCCTGGGGGCACAGCCAGCCCACGGGGAGGGGCAGAAGTGAAGGGCTGGAGTAGGGAAAGGAGGCTGATCCACGACCCCTCATGACTGGTGGCTGCCCCTATGGATGGTCAAGACATAGATCTTAGGTCCAGAAGCTCCCGGCCCCTATTTGTGTGACAGAAAGCAGCACACGTGCCGTCTCCTGCTTGTCTGGCATGTTAACACAGCTGGACGGAGGCTGGCAGTGATTTGAAGTGGTGGGCTGAGATCTAAGCCCATAGAGTCTGCCAGGCACCCCTGGGGTCACCTCGTCCCCCTTGCTGAGCAGGTGGCCAGGGCCAGGAGCAGCCTAACTGCAGAGCAGGGGCTCTCACCACTCGCCCCGTGTTTCCACCTGCAGGTCGTCTATTCTGGGAAAGACCTGAGAAGCCCTGGACCTGAAGGAGGAGGAAGAGGTGGAGTGAGCAAAGGTGGCCCAGTGGGGCAGAGGCAGAGGCGGCGGCCTCACTACTTTGCGAACTGAGACCCCCCCCCAGGTGGCCTGGCATCTACCACAAATGGCTACGTGACACAGGAAACCTTTTGTGGGCCCTCAGCCCCGGCAGACACTCCAGACATGTGGATGGCACCTGCCTTGGGGACATGTGCCTTCAGGACCATGGGGGTCAGGTTGCTGGTCAGTCTGTCTGTCCTGGGCAAAGACACGGCACTACCCCCCCCCCCAGAGGGTCAGACAACTGCAATCTCACGATCTTGCTGGGTGACCCGTGCCTTGGAGGCCAATACCGTAGTTGGTTATCATCAGGTGGCTTGGGAACTTTGTCAACCACGGTGGGCATTGCCACATGGTGTAAGATGCTCCTGCGCCAGCTCAGAGCCTGCCAGCCGCTGCTGTTGTCCTGTTGATGGACGCCTCCCCTAGCCCTCCCAGCGGGCTCGTTTCTGCAGCCCTGATCTCCCTCACTTTCTGGTTCCTGCTGGTATCAGGACCCAGCCAATGACACAGGTCCTCGGGACAAACTGGAATCCTGAAGTCCACAGCGTGTACATTACAATCCACCGGCCCTCACCTCTGAAGTGTTCCATAGCACCTCCGGATACAACCACCCAGGCTTCCAATGTGGGAATGTCCATTGGGGGAGGGGGTGTCGGGGACACACAACAGCCAGGTGTTTCCATTAAAATTACAAATAGGTGATTACTGTGGTGTGGCTATTGGACCCTTAACAATTTATCTAACCATGGTATTTGCACGCTGTGTGAAGGCTCCGCCTTGCATTACTGCCTGACAGAAATCGATTAGAAACAACCCAAGTGTCCATAAACAGGAGCTTAGTTAAATGAGTGGCCACAGGGCCCTACCTGCACCGCTGTAATGAAGAGGCCTTGTGATACCCATCAGAAAAGGTACCTGTGATTCCGTGGCATCCCGCCAAATCTGTGCCCCACCAGCATGTTCGAGAGTTCCCCCAGCGGTCTTTGCCATCACTCAGTAGCACGGTCCTGTTCCTGCAGCAAGATGCCCGCCACTAACATGAGGAAATGAATCAGGAAAGGTGACAGGGAGAGAGAATGATAGGTGAGGAGGTCTTGGGGCCACCACTGGGGCGCAGAGCAGCGTGAGGAAGAAGCTCGGGCTGAGTTCATTGGCTGGTCAGGCCCTCCTGTAACTACAGACAGAGCACCTCTAGGGAAGAGGAGTGAAGAAGGAAAAGCCTGGCACTCATGCCTGTAATCCTAGCTACTCCCGAGGCCGAGGCCTGGAGAATGAAAGTTCAAAGCCAGCCGGGACAGAAAAGTCTGAAAGATTCCATCTCCAGTTAGCCAGCAAAATGCACAACGGGAGGCATGGCTCAGGTGATCAATGAACTAGAAAAACAAGCAAAGGCCAAGTTCAGCACTTGCCTAGCCAGGGCCCTGCCCTAGTTTTATCCACATATCTGCGTATATACACATACGCAGTGTTATATGTTTATATAATAATCCTGATTAGTGAGAGTTTTGTCGCTCCCTGGTGTTACCGGCAGAGGCTGAATGGGGCTGTACAGCACCACCAGGGGGCGCCTTCTCTCCATCGACCCCTTCTCAGCCCAGCACCTATCTGGAGTGGGATTCAGGCTCCTGGGCCCCTTGTTGAGTCTCTCCTCCTCTTGGATGTACCCCTGACCCTTCCACTGCCAGAGCGTCCCTCTCCTCTACCCATCAGATGGTCACCAACCAACCTGTGTCCAATTCTCCCACAAGATATCCTGGCATCTCTTCCCTCCTTAGCATCCTGCCTCCCTCTGCAAGGTCTGACCTCAGTCTTGCCCAGCTCAGACCTCTGGCCTCCTGATTTAGGGACAGGCCTCAAAGCAAGAGGCTGATGATATTCACCCTTTCCTCCAGCCAGAGTTGGGCTGACTGGGTATGCTGGAGATGAAGCTGCCCGCATGCTCACACCAGGAGGGGATAAAGGCATCTCAGTCACCAAGTGCAAAACTATAAGGTGCCAGCACTTCAGGCATCAAGATTAGTAATCGTATAATGCAATATTTTGTAAAGCAAAGTTAATGCAAAAATAATCCATGAACAAAATATCAACCTTTCTTATCAGTATAATAATTCTCTGTTTCAGGGCTGGGAAGGTGGCTCAGTGGTAGAGTGCTTGCCTTGCATGAGGTCCTGGGTTCGATTCCTCAGCACCACGTAAGCAGAAAAAGCTGGAAGTGGCACTGTGGCTCAAGTGGTAGAGCGCTACCCTTGAGCTGAAGAGCTGAGGAACAGCACCCAGGCCTAGAGTTCAGGCCCCACGACCAACAAAAAACAAACCTGTCTGTTTCATGACTTACACTTATATTGCAAATGACTTGAAGGCCTCTGTTTCCTTGACACCCCCCCCCCAACACTCTGGTTTGTTTTTCTATTCTTTTTCTTTATTTTAAGCAAAAGGTTAAAAACAGACAGCTGCTAAATTTAAAAGAGAGAGGAGATAAAACATACATATTCTCTTGTATCAAAAGGTATAGTAACACCAAAGTTTATTTCTGTTTCCTTTTGCACTAAAATGAGGACAGTATAATGTCTCAGATGGAGAGAGGCTTGATTTCTGTTATTAATCACATTTAATTGGTTTTAATTGACTTGTACAAGTCAAAAAGAAGATGAAGGGCTGGGAACAGCTCAGCGCCCGACATGCACAAGTTCTGCATCACTAAACAAAGCAAAAAGATGAAAGAGAACAGAAAATGGGAAGAGGAGAATAAAGAGAAAGAGATGGAAAGGAGGGAACAAGGAGGAAAGGAAAAGGAAAAAGTAGAATGGAGGAGGAAGAAGAGGTGAAGGGGAAAGGAAGACTAGAAGAAAGGGGGAAGAAGAGGGAAAGACTGGAGAGTTCATTCCAGAAATAATTCTAAAAATAAAGATATAATAATGAAGAGATCAATGCAATACCAGGATATTGTTGTTCTAAATCTGTATGAACCCAGTAACAGCACTTCAAATTATATAAGTCAAAAGTTGACAGAATCAAAAAGAAAACTCCAGGAGCTGGGAAGGTGGCTCAGTGGTAGAGCGCTTGCCTTGCATGCATGAGGTCCTGGGTTCGATTCCTCAGCACCACATAAGCAGAAAAAGCTGGAAGTGGTGCCGTGGCTCAAGTGGTAGAGCACTAGCCTTGAGCTGAAGAGCTGAGGGACAGTGCCCAGGCCCAGAGTTCAGGCACCATGACTGGCAAAAAAAGAAAAAAACAAAACTCCATAACTATAGAGACATTAATATTCTTATTAATATTCTTCTTTTAATAGTCAATGATAAATGTGTATGGAAGCTTGCCAAAAATAGTTGTTTATTGTTTGTATATGTGTGTATATATATGTTTGTATATGTGTGTGTTGGTCGTGGAGCTTGAACTCAGGGCCTGGGCATTGTCCCTGAGCTTTTTTGTTGTTGTTGTTGTTGGTCATGGGGCTTGAACTCTGGGCCTGGGCACTGTCCCTCAGCTCTTCGGCTCAAGGCTAGCACCCTACCACATGAACCACAGCACCACTTCTGGTTTTTCTGAGTGTTTTGTTGGAGATAAGAGTCTCACGGACTTTTGTGCCCAGGCTGGCTTTGAACCGCAATCCTCAGATCTCAGCCTCCTGAGTAGCTAGGATTACAGGCATGAGCCACTGGCACCTAGCTGTCCCTGAGTTTTTTTTGTTCAAGGCTAGCGCTCTCCCACTTTGAACCACAGTGACACTTCTGGCTTCCTGGTGGTTCACTGGAGATAGTTTCATAGACTTTCCTGCCCAGGCTGGCTTCAAACCATGATCTGCAGATCCCAGCCTCCTGAGTAACTAGAATTACAGGCGTGAGCCACTGGCTGGTGCCTGGCTCCAAGGATACTATTCAGGCAACTTGCTCTGTTTTCAAGTTTGTAGAGAAATTATTAGTATCTGTCAGCTAGATTGCCATGACAAAATACCACCAACTGGATGGCTTAAACACCAACAACAAATTTTTTCTCACAGTTCTCGGGGCTGGGAAGTTCAAGGTCAAGATGCCAAATGAACCCTGATTATGGTGAGTGCTCTCTCTCTCTCTCTCTTCTTGGGCTTCAGATGTGCATTCTTGGTATCTCTCAGATAAGGGTCCCACTTTTATTGCCTGGTGCCAACTCCTAAGAGCCCTATCTCATGTACCGTCACATTAGGCACTGGGACTCCTAACATATCAACTGGAGGTCAACCTTCTGTCCGTAACAGCATGACATCATGCTATGGCTGTGGAGATAGGAGGGTCTATTTCCTCCTGACCCAGCCATCCTGCTCTCTACCAGTGTAAAAGTTGGGAGAGGCTAAAATGTGTCCCCTGAAGATTCAGGTTGGGATTCTTACCAATGTGTCCCCAGGATCTCAGAATGTGTCTGGGTTGGAGATAAAGTCATTAAGTGGGTCAAGTCAAATGAGATCAATAAAGTGAGCTCTAGTCTAGTATGGATAGTTGTTCTAAGAAGAGGAAATTGGAACACAGACACACACCAAGGGAAGACCATGGGAGGACACAGAGGAAAGATGGCCCTGATCAGCAAGCCAAAGAGAATGAAATCTGGTGACACCTTGTTCTTGGAAGTCTAGCTCCCAGAATTGCGAGAAAATAAATTTAAGTTACCTAGTCAGTGGTATCCGTTACAGCAGCTCCAGTGGAGGAAAAATAATCACAGCAGCACGCAGGCAACAGTCCACATTTCCTAATTCCACAACTTACAAATTTACTCGGTGTGGCATCGTTTATGGTGAAAAAGAATCGGCAATGGTCCAAGCACTCATCTAGAGGGCACAGATTAAATTAACTAGACTCTGCATACGTGCTTGAATTCTGTGCAGCTGTGTGGATGATGGAGGAAAGCAAAAAAAAAAAAAGATGTTCAAAAAGGTGATGTTAACTATTGAACTATAAAAACAATAAAACCAGGCGCTGGTGGCTCACACCTGTAATCCTAGCTATGC